GGCTCGGCTCCAACATTCCAATGAGATAAGCTTCATTCTAAACAATGTGGTCACCAACTATTTCAGCTGTGTTGCTTTGGAAACGTTAGAAAATAAATTTTAAAAATCCAAGAACAAGCCAAGCATTCAAAGGATTCAAGACAACATGCGGGGAACAACAGGTATTGTGAAGGGGCTGCTGGCCAGGTGAAGAAGACCCAGTTCTAGTGTAGACTCTGCTGACCTTGCTGCGTGACCTTGGAGACTGCTCTCTGAGCTCGGTTTGCTAGCCTGGGCCATGACTATAGTGTCCTCGAAGGCATCCAAACCAGGCCACCTAGGCCACTGTGTTTCTGCCACGGAGCCCTCAGAGCAGGCAGGTTGGGCTGATCAGACTACCACCTCTGGCTTCCCCAGTAATATGCCAAACAGCACACAGAGTCCTCATTCCCAAACGATAAGCCCCTGGCTTCAGTCCAAGGCTAAGCACATGAGCTAGGTCCCCAGGAGTACTGGCAGAGCCCTCCCACCAGAGTAAGAAAAGCCAGCAGCTAGGGAACACGGTGCTGAGGCCATGCACTGGGAAGGTGTGGGCTCCGGCTTCAAGGAGGCTCAGGAATGAGATGACAGCTTGGGGACCTTGGCCAAGAGGTCCCCCAAGGAGATCTGAGTCCTGATCCAATCACCACTGGACAGGCATCCTAGCAGGATGGAAGGAGCCTGGTACAGGAGCTGTGTCATCAGGCCGGAGGCCATGCTTGAAGGCTGCCCGTTTCAGAGTGCTGTCTGGCTGGGGCAGCCAGCATTCAGGAGTGGGATGCACCAGGCCTGCCCATCCAGCCACATGTTTCCTATGCCCTGCAAACAAGGAGAGGCAGCCCGGCTTGTGCTTACCTCCCCTCACCCCTCAGCTGTTCCCCACGGCAACTCCGGGAGTGGAGCTGCAGACCACAGCTACAGCCACACCTCCGGGGCCTGCCTGGACTGCACTTAAAAAAAATCATTTTATTGGGGGCTCGTACAACTCTTATCACAATCCATACACACATCAATCGGCACACTTTCTTTTTCACTGTCTGCGTGCCCTTCCCAAAGGCCGTGTTCACACCAGTCAGCACAAGCAAAGAGAATGATCGAGAACCCGGCAAAGAAGACTGCTACCCACGGGCTAACCAAGAGGTGACAACTACTGAAGAACCGTGCCGCTGGGCTGAGCTTCCTAGCAGACAAGGCTGAACGAGGAGAGCGTGCTGTGTGACTTGGCTTTGGTTTGTGATCGGACAAGGCTTATGAGTTATGCGGGAAATGCAGGTTGTCTTAACACAAAGTCTTAAATCTCTCAGTAGAATGCTGCTGCCGGAAGGAAGGAAGGAAAGAGAGGAGGAGGGAGGACGCAGAGGGAGGCAGGGAGAAGGGGAGCAAAGCTCAGGAAGAAAGGAAAAGGAAGGCGGGGACGAAAGGGAGGAGGCCCCCATGGAAGGGAAGAGGTAAAGGGCAGGAGGCCGGGGTGAGCCAGCGAGGAGGGCAAGAAAGGGCAGGCAGGAAGGCCGAGAGAGAACACGCACAGGCCCTGAGCAAGCTGGCCCACCCACTGCTCCGGTTTCATGGGCTCTGCGAAACGCAGAGGCAGTTTGACTGGGGGGCCTCTGTTGCCATAGGACCTGCAGACCAGCCGCTGAAGGCCCCTCTGGAAGGACAGCGCTCCGCAGCTGCAGGAGAGCAAGCCCTGGCTCCCCAAGCTGACGATGATGCACACACCTAGGAGGGTGGCCAGAGGCACGTGCCAGGCCTTCCCTTACGCAGCCCATGTCCCGGGCAGGCCTGGGGGTCTGTGCCCATCTCAAGCTCCAGCCAAGGTGATGGGGCATCGGGCGCCCTGGGCCCCGCCCCCACCAGCATGGAGGCAGCCAGGCTCTCCCCAGGGCGGGGGGGCCTGGACCCCCGAATTCGTGGTAGGCTCCCGCTGCCTAATGCACCAGGCTGGCTTCAGTTTGGAGCCCTGTTCCAAGCTGGCATGGATGTCTGTTTTGTTTAAAGGAAAAGAAAACAGAATAAAACCCCGAAGGAAACACTTGGATTAAGGGACGCCTATTAAAAACATGTGCAAGAAAGCCAAATACGGTAAAGGGAGGGGGAGGGGGGAGGCAAGAGATGGGTGGGGGCGGGGTGTAACTTTCTACTATAAATTGAAAGCAGAGCCTGGACACAGGCCAGGAGCACTGATGACGTGGCAAGGTCAAAATGTAAACAGCAGAGGCCTGGCGTAGGCTGCGTCCGCTGGGGCTGTAAGAGGCAGCTCCAGCTGCACACACCGATCCCCACATCCCTCTCGACCTGCGTGCCCGACCGGCGTGCCCGTCCCTCTCACAGAAGAACTTTTTCTTAAGGGGGCTGATGGAGTGGGAAGCAGTCCCCGTTGCTCCACACAGAACCAGGCCGGGGTATCTGGGCCAC